CATAAGAAAATACACCAGGTTACTTAGTCAGTGGCACAGGAAAATCAGTGCCAGGTTTGTTTTCACAGGACCCTATTATTTTGATTGCTATCAGCTGATAATTCATCTACATAACTCTGACTGTGACCTCTTTGCTGTACCATCCTTGCAGGATTTTTTTTTCTGATCAGGGAATTAAAAAAAAAAATTGTTTGAGCTCTCCTTTAGTCTGTGATCCCTGATCCTCACGGGCTCTCTTTAATACCTATGTTCCCAATGTTTTAATTCGTAACTCCTTCAAATATGCACTTACATTAGGCCATTGAATTCAATCAGTGGGACTAATTGTGCGTGTAAAGGTTACATTTGTATTGAAGAGCTTAGCTGGCTCTGTACCCTAAGTGGCATACGTGAGAGACGGGAAAAGAGACAAAAAAGAGAGAAACAAACTCCTAATTTCCAGACCGAAGGGACTCAGGGAGCACACAAACTGAAGAAGAAACTTTGTTATAACATAACAGACACTTGGATTTATTCCCAGTTCTTCACTGTCATTCCATATTTAGGCCGTGACCTTGCAAGCACTTATGTGCAGGAGTCATTTACCAAATAATTGAACTTGCTGGCACTGGTCCCATTTGTTTCTTTATAGTCTAGCATATAAAGACCTCAAACTCGGCTCTCTCAAGTATTCAATTTTCCCTCATCTTTCTTAATGTGTGGTTCCTCAAAATTGGACCTGGGACTCCAGGTGAGGTCTTACCAGTACCGGGCAGAGTGAAAGCATGATGTCCTGCTACTTATATGCAATCCTTCTTTTAATCAATCCCAGTTTGCTGATAGCTTTTTCTTGCAGCACCATGCAGTACTACGCTGCTGAAGTATATTCAGCTTAGTCTCCACTATAACCCCGAGGTGCTTTTCTGCAGTCACTTATTCCCCCGCTTCTATTTCTGAGTTTGACTGTTCCATCCTAAGTGCTCTGCAGTTGTCCGTATTGACAGCATCAAAACATTTAAACTATTGTGTGATAAAATTGACACTCATTTGTGAAGAGTTTTGGTTGAAATACCTTTAAATTTGCAGGAAACATCAGTCTGAAAGATGTTACCCAGATCTCATTGTCTATTTAGACCTCACATCCTTTGTGTTTAAAAATCTTGGTACGGTGACCAGCACAATGGATCTTATCCGAGTCAGCAGGCAATGCTGCAATTCAAATACATGGCAATCTCCACTTTGATTGCAGACCACACCTATTGAGTATGCTTCATCTCAAGGGATATCACTCCTGAAATGCCTGGCATTGTATCCAGATTTCAGATCATTTCATTCCTATTAATGACAATAATTTACCTTAGAAATAAAGAATTGTGAACTAAGATTACTGGTTACTTTCAAGAGAAAGAGCCCTATGGCATTTTAAGTTTCCTGCATGAATAATTTTTGTTTTTTGTCACGTGCCAGATTCTCAGCTGGCACAAACTTGAATTAGCTCTTCAAGTTATGCCGTTTTACATTGCCTGAGAATATGAACCTTGGTCCCTCACTGGGCTTTGACAGATTGAGAGAGATGCTGCGGGATTGTTTGCTCTCTTGGAAGGTGGATGAATTCAGTGATATAATGAGTCTTTTCTGTGGTTGACTTCTGTGACTTATAAATGTTCCTCTTTTTCTAATCTGCTGTTCATTATGGCTCAGTGTTTGAAGGACAGATGTGCCACTTAATTACTATTAATGGCACAGGTAGGTCAACTGAACTTCCCTGTGCATGGTATCTGTGAATGATAGAGTACTTCAACTCCTGGTTATTGAGATCTTGCTTTAAGTGCCAAGGTGACACATTGTATTTTAAACTATGTGTACTATTTAAAAAATATTCTAATGCAGCATTTAGTAGTCAAATGCATGTACTTGCTTATTAAATTTTTAAAATTGCTTGACTTTAAGAGCAAGAAGTGCCTCTTTTATGCCTAATCATCTAGCCTCGCAACAATTTAGTAGAGCTTCCACTTTTCAATGAGAAATTCAAGCAGGTTATTCTCTTCTAGAGTCTATTACCCAATAATTGTTTTATTTTTTTCTTTCAACAGGTCAGTGGTACAAAGGCAGAAAATTGACTTTTAAGATGTACACAGCACTTTCATTCTGGGTATCTTGCAGCTTTACAAGTATTGAATCAAGCCGCAGGTTGCTAATCATTATCATTCCCATTTTACAGATGTGTAAACCAATGTACATAGTGATTAACTTGCCCAAGGTCATGTAATAATGTGTGATGGAGGTAGGAAAACAGATCTCCTAGCTTGCAGTCCTATACCTTAATTATATTTAGTGATTACTGTAATAAAGTATTTAATTACAGTTTCCTATAATAGTTCTATAATTTACCACCACATAGCTTTTTTGTGTGATTAAAATTTATCCCTAATACAAGCCATGGTTGCACTCTTATTTGACAACTGCAACTGTATCCAATGCGTGCTACTGGTTACAAACAAATATATATTGCTACGATGTGCATCAGAGAAGAGTCCTGTATAACCATATAACCATGTGCAGTTTTGAAACCTTATGCCTTCAAAAGTCATCATGAGTCAGATCCCGTTATCCCTGTAGGGAGCACGTACATAAGATATTGTATATTTGGATAATGCTTTTCAGCCAGTTCCTTGGGCCAGTGGTAGAGAAAGATTTGTGGAATGGATTGTGTCCCATGCAGTGGGTGCAAGAGAAAGAAAGGTACTCCAAGCCCTTCCGGGAATATTTTTATGGCTCCACCTACTTCCCTTGGTCTTTAAAGTTGTGTGCAACATCCTTTTATGTTTTGGATATCTGCTTTAGCCACACTCCTGGAGCTTGGCCTAAGCCCTTTGAAAATGGCCAAGGCTGGCAGCAAAGGATGCATCTCTTGGTGCTTGATTTGAAACTTCTGAGTATTCATTGTAGCCCAAGCCTTTTTAGGCCAAATGGAGGCAACTAATAAAACTAATAAAGACTAGGCATCTAATGTTGCCTTTGGTGTTGGGGTTCGGGGTGATTTGGATCACTTGGGGTGATTTGGATTGCTTTTTGTGACCTAGGTACCTACATTTTATCTATGTCCTGTTTAGGTGCCTACAAGATTACCTTGGATTTGGCCCTTAGCCTTTAACTTTCAATACTTATTCATGGACTTGTTTAAATGTATGTGTGATAACTGGTTCTGATGACACTTCCACCAGTAAGTGGAAATCGGTTATGCTCAGTGGTGTTCTACCTTACAGTAACATCAAAAGGTGGGCCCTAAGTTTCAGATAGGAGTTTTATAAATTAGGATTAATGAATACAACCGTTTTTAGCCCATATCTTTACACACACACGTACACACATATACACACACACAATACAAACTACTAAAGAAGGTAGCTTTTAAAATTGTAAAAGTATAGCATACGTCTTCAGCATCTAAAAGTCCTTGCAGTAAAATAGAGTTGTCATGTTCTGTGTTATCTCACTCTTGTAGTTTAAAAACAGTTTTCGTACTGTGTGGTCTGGTTTTGAAAGGTTATTATAGAACATGAGCATGTATATGTGTTCACTAACATGTAAATGTGTGCCTATCAAAGGAAGCCCTGCATTGAAAGAGGTCTAAAGTTGACATTTTGTAGTACAGAATTTAAATGTTTATTTTTTTGTTGGTGTTAAATTATTGACTTTCCAGTTGCTTTTCTCACTGGGCAGTGTCATCAGATGTCAGTGCCATTCGCATCCATCTCCATTGTTCTTCAGCTGCACAGAGGAAATTGCTTTCTCTTAAAAAAGGAGCTTGCTGTCAAGCTGCTGTTATGTTAAACAATGGATGTAGGTGAAGCTTTTGAGCCCTCACTTTATATTCTGACTGGGTGCCAAGAGTACTGTCAAGTGTTTGAAAGAAACACTCCAAAAATAAGAATAATCACCTTAACCACATATACAGTATCTCTGCTTTTAGGCAGTTTCCCTAGGAATCAGGTGAGGACTTTCTTTGCTCAATTGATCATAAAGAATTTCAAGACATATAAGTATGCGCCTCCTCTGGGCCTAAGGGAAGGTATTCTTTGTTGTATATTGCAAGTGAAATCTTGTATCCACCTCCTGCCACTTAAACTTTTGGAGAGCCTGATTCTAGGTTTCTTTATCTCCATGACCTGTCTCGGCAAGGGGAACATGCCTCCAAATCTGAACAGTCCCATACTGTGAGAATGTTTCAAAATGACTATTGCTATTTATTACTTATCTCACGCACCTAAATGTGCCAGGCAATTTTGTATGCAACCCCTGCTTTCAGGAGCATGCAGTCCAGATAGCCCAATCAGTTTAAAACCATGCAAAATTAAAATGCATACTTTCTGTGCTTTTGGAGTTCTTGACAGCTATAAAAATTAAATTTAGTATAACTGGAGCCACATACCTACTCCTGCAAAGCAAAAAACCCCCCAAAGAACAAATCCCCCAACTGAGCAGAATATAAACCCACAAAGATACTCTCTTCTTCCTCTACAACCCAAAATGCTATTTGCTATTTATGTTCTATCTGCTACCTTCTCCTAGTCTTGTCTGCAAAAATGTGCATTTCTTGCTCTCTAATCTTGGTTCTGGCCCCTTCCAAATACCTTTCTTACCTAAGAAATCTGATAGTGTGGAGATTATTTCAACTACCAGGATTTCTTCTCTAACTGGATGTAGTCACAGTTCTGAAAACTGAGCCCATTTGACTTTTTGTTTGATTGTTGCTGCACTTCCTCTGCATCTGGAAGTTCCTTGCTGCTTGACACTCAGCGATTCTCCGGTTTTGAACCCTAAATTGCTTCTTTTGTTGCCCTGTTTGTGTTACACAGCATTACAGCTTGATTAAGTCTTCTTATTCTTGACATCTAACATCTCTTAATTTGGTTTTCCTGAGCAGAATACAAACAGTCTGTAGTGACTGTTGAACGGCAATAGATTCTGGTCTGGGGTTCAATTCAGTTTTCCACCCAAAAGTTTCAAGGTTTCTCTGAATCTTGTCTCTGTGAGGATGGAAGATTTTAACAATCTCCATTCCTCTGGAACATAACTTCTACAAGCCCAGTGTCCATTCCCATGTGACCTAGTAGAAGAACAAGCAGTCAATTGGCTCCCCTGTTCAAATAAATTTTATAGGATGTACTTTAAAAACAGTTCTTCTTCATGGAGAGGTCAATGCCCCTACTCCTTCATATGTTTTTTTCATAGAGGTGGCCAGCTAACTCATCTCTCCTCTGACTTCTTTACAAGGCGAAGATACATGTTGCATTTACCATGGTGTAACTTACAGCCGTTTGCATGCCAGAGTAAATGACATGGGTGTCCGAATCGGACCGATGACTAGCTCTCCTGAGGTAGTAATACGCAGGTCCTGCTGTTATAATGGCTTCCTGGTAGGTAACAGTCTGTTTACATTGATCAACTGGAAAATCCACCGTGACATTGACTAGAGCTGCAGAGGTATAAAATAAATCATATTGGCATATACGAATTCCTGACTTTTCAAAGGACAACCTTATCCTAAACTAGAGTACGGACTGTGCATGGTGTGTTTGCTCAGCATTTGCACCAGTAAAAAGGAAGAGTCCACTAGTAGAAATATGTTATGTGCCCACACTACCACAGTGGACTCGTGAGCTCACTCTTTAATTCATTACCGATATATTTCTTAGGCAGCTCTCTGATGCTTACCAAGCTCTGTTAATTATCGATAATTTGCTGTTCACGTTCTTCCATGGGCAGTGGTGGTGAATATTTCAGCATCTTCCCATCCCAACTTTTGATATTTTCTCCAAATAGAATAGTACATTACATATTGTTTGCATTTGTAGCTGCTTCCCTCCCCCGCAGAATCTTCAAAATGATAACCATCATAAGAAGCATCATAATGAGTCAGATCAATGGTTCATCTACCTTAGTTTCCTGTTTCCAACCATGGAAACTTTAGAGGAAGAACATTGAACAGGTTATATCTAGAGTGACTTATCTCTTATTCATTATCCTCCCTGCCATCCACCATTGCTGGCTTAAAGATGTCAGAGGATACATCTCTGACTGTTCTGCTTAATAACTATTCAAAGATTTATCATTCATGAATGTGTCTAGTTCCTTTTTGAATCTAGCTATACTATCCACCTCTATACGTCGAGCATTCAGAGCACTCTAACGGTGTTAGGTCATTTAAGATATACAGACAGAGTTGTTAACTAAATTCTATTTCTATTTTAGAGATAGTAAAATAGAAGTAGAGAAGTGAAGAGAATTGCTCTAGCCAATTTAGACAACAGCTGTTGGATTCAGACTCGACTCTTTTGACTCTATCCCCAGCTGTAGCCACTAGATTACACTATTTCTCCTGAACAGGATAGAAAGTAGCATGACTCCTGTTTACATCTATTTTAATGTCAATGGAATTGAAATGAGAGAAATCATTAAAAAAAATCTCACACAGGGCCAGTTCTGGCTCTTTAAGTATAGGGACATAAAAAGATTCTTCTCTGTTTGTAAGTGAGAAACTAAAAATAGAAACGTAGATTCCAAGGGGCAGTTTACTCATCCTTATTCTCATTTTCCCATTTAATAGACTGCAGCACAGTAGGCATGAGGAAGAATGCCTTACCGGTCTGGATGATGAAACCTGGAGAACAAAGAAGTTGTGCCAATGGAAATAAATTGATCCTTCCTACAGTGATGTGTTATGTCTTTAAAATTCTGTGTTAGTCTAACTGTCACCTTGGAATATGGAACCTTTTTTAAATAGCTGTCAGTGCATCAAAATGAATTCTCACTCTGAATATCAGTATTTCATTTCTATGTGTGGAATTTAGAAACATGGGGTTTCATCCTGGCATATCTGCAGTTACACCATGTCTTACTTGGCCTATGATAGTTTGAGGACAACGCAAGGAAAAATATTTAATATTAACATACTAGAATGCTTTGGAAATGATTTTTTTTTTAATGTTCAGAATGCCTTTTTATTATTCATGGATCACATGACTTTTCAAAAACCCGCTAACTTTGGCACAGTAATTGCCAGTAGGACAAAAAAAAATAAAAGTGCTTGTGAATTCGGGCCTCTGCAAAATGGTAAAAGAATAACTTGTCCTTCAATTATTTTTCTGATAAATTCCCTGTTGATAAATCTCTATATTTGTACTAACATTTTGGAAAATTAAAAGAATGAGAGGCTGATCATTTCTTTCTTGTGCTGTTTCCAGCCAGTTCCTGCAGCAGAAAGGATACATTTGGTGTTTTGACACTGACATTTAGTTGGATCGAGGGCAGTAAATAATATCTGTTTAGTGTTTGGGTCATCTTGATCTAGGGTACTATAGGCTTCCCTTACAAAGGGATTGCTTATAATGACCTTAATAGGTCTTTTCTATATTTTCCCATAACTTCTATGTTCCTATAGAAACAGAATAAATTCCATGAACACTACATTAGAAGGAAATAAGGTAAAATGCGGTGCCTAAATTAGCCCTGCAATACAGTACATGTCAGTTTGCATTAGGCATCTCATGGCTAAGCTTAGTGTGTTTTGCCACAGGTGTGAAGAATCTAGTAAAAAGGAAAAAGTCATTCTGACTTGAAAAACTGCATCTGGGAATAGGATAAAGTCCTTGCCAGGCCAATTATGAACTAAATGGCAGCAACTGCTTGTGGAATGGCCTAACTGCAACTGTGATTGAGATCTAACTGCCTGGGGGCATCCACACCTGCATTTCATCTGGGATCAGTTTACTTATGAATAAACCACTTGCTAGTAAATGCTCCTGGGTAGGTGTCTACTCATGCAGGGAAGCAGGAGCAGATTTGCTGCTAATGGAAGGAAAGTGCTCCCACTTCCTGGGTCCCTAAAATTAGCCCCTACTACCACCAGGGAAAGCTCTAAACTCCCCCTGGTTGCTAGCCCAGGGGCTGGCAGGGAGGACTGGGCCAGGAGGCACTTGTCTCCTGGCCAGAGTTTGGACATTACACCCTGCCCCCAGGGCAAGGACAATGTTCTCCTGCTTCAGCAGCAGGTAGTTCCTGGCCCTGGATCCCCAATCAGGGTAGGGGACTTGGAAAGAGTTGCAGGGGAGGAGCAGGTCCCAGCCCCCTGCTCCAATCTGCAGCTAGCAGGTAGCTCACAGCAGATTGGGGCAGGGGTCTAACCAGGAAAGTTCCCAGCCCTTGCCCCACACACAAAGTGGAGGCTGGGGAGCCTGTTCCTCTCTCGGCTCCATCAGCACAGAGCTGGGTGAGGAAAAGTCTGGGGAGCGTGTTCCCTGCTCAGCTCTGCAAGTATGGAGCTGGGTGGGGAACAAGCTGGGCAGTTTGTTTCATGCTCAGGTCCATGAGCACAGAGCTATGTGGGCAACAGGCTGATAGTTTGTTCCCTGATCAACTCCACCCTCAGGGAGCTGGGTGGGGAACAGGATGGGGAGGATCATGATCTTGGAGCAGGGAGGCTTGAAGCTCCCTGTTGCTGGGGCAGGGAGACATAGTCCTTGCCCAGGATCTGGTAGCAGAGCTAGCAGCAAGCAGCTCCTGGGAGTAGGGAACAATCTCCCGTGCCTGGTGAATGGCTGACTGGAGCAGATTTGCTCCCTGTCAGGCATCTATATAAGCACTACTGTACTGTTACTAATCAAAAGTCATTTTGCTACTTGCATTTGCAGGTAGCAAATTTACTCACGATTAGTGAGGTTTACTGCATAGTAATAGATGCAGTAGATACACATGCTCACTTCACAGTAAGCTATGCTGCTGCAAAGTTAAGCATCACATAAAGACTCACCCCCTGTGCTTAAGGATTGAGGTGGCATTTAGGTCACACAATTTTTGCTCGTATGGGATGGTTAGCGTATAGGAAGGGGAAAAATCATGTTAGATGATGCTTTCCTGAGACAGCATCTGAATAGGGACAATAATGTTTCAGGGGGAAATGGACTTTATGTCACTGAATACATGAATTTTATTTATATTAGGTCTTTCTTTTAATTCGGTACACAGAAACTGAAAAAAGATTGTTTTTCCTTACCTGAAGCCTTGACTTAAGATCCTAACTCTTGTCTATGAAAAAAGACCTTTCTCCACATCCCAGAGTGAACCTCAGAACATGGACACAGGTGAATTTGAAGGTAACCTTTTTTCTTAGCTGCAAAAAGTGGTGTTTGAAATTCAATAGTTGCAAATTGATTTTCACAAACAAAAGATATTTGCTCCAGGTGTTCAAACTGCACCAGTCCAGCCTGCACCAAAAAATAGCAACACCTTTCTTAGCGTGCCAAAAATCCTTAACCACTGCAAACTGATTGGCAGGAAAGTAATGCATTTGTTTGCTGCCTATGCACAACCAAGGCAATAATTATTCTAGAGAACACTATGAAAGAAGAATACATTGATCCCTAGGGACTGAGTAAAATATGCATTATGGGAACGTTCAGTTGAAAGCCATCTCCTGCCTTTGTTTACTAAAGAGATTAATAGACCTCTTTCCAAATACTGTTGTTAGTGGTACTATAGCAAGACACTGAGAATAGGGTTGGCCAGAAAACAAGAATTCCAGTTCCCAAAACAATTTTAGCTTCAGCATTTGTTTTGTTGCTCACTGGGGAGAGAGCCCCAGAATAGTGAATAGCCTGGTGAATTTCCCGGGAGGTTCAGGAAACTCAGGTTGTAATGATTGCTTTAAACTGGGAGTTCTTTCATTTTCCAGGTGAGTGTCCTAACTTCCTGGTTAATTTGGGTTGCTTTCTTTCTGTAGCCTGCAAAACCTGATCATAGTTATTCCTTTCTCTTCCAACCTTGTTTTCCACTAGGCAGGGTCTGATTTTTCAGTCCTCATTCTGCACAAGATTTTGCCTATCATTATTGCTCTTAAAACAACATATGTTGTCAAGGCTTGTTTTATATACTTGTGCCATATCTTCTTGGCTCTTACCCTCCTTCCTTTGCCCTCACACTTCGGGTATGAATGTTCCCTCCCATATACTCTTCTCACGGCAGGTTTATGAAACCAAAATGCTTCCATGAAAACTTTTAGATGAGACAAATTCGCATTATCCAAGACAAACATTTTTTTTATAGTTGTCAGAAAAATCTCTATCAGTTTGTTTTAAGGCAATACGCCTATTCAATCCTGTGGATGACAGAAGTCATTGTATAATATTAAAACCTATTGTTTGCCTACAGAGTGGAACACTTTATCAGTTAGCATTAACATTAACACAGTCTGGGAATCTGTAGGCCGTGATAGACATTACGTTTTACAACCCAATAATGTGTTATAACCCATAACATGATACATATGCATGGGGTTATATCTTGTTTAGGGGGCCAATCATTGTACGATAACTAAAGCTCAGTGTAAGTAGTTTAGTTGAACAAGATGTAGTTGAACCAGGTTCTGCAACTGGCTTTGTAATGTTTGTCATGCAGATGTGATTTAGGGTCTGTCTCTATTGGGAGTTATGTAGTTTGTCCACCAGGGAGCCAGTAATTTCTTATCCCTGGGCATGGGATGGGCAGGGGCTGTGTGCAGGAGGTGTAGGGGGTGGGGTACGGCAGGAAATGCATGGGGCTGGGGCCTGCACACTTACTATATAGCAGCTTCTGGGAAGCTAGGCAGGAAGTCCCAGTCTGGCATCATCCCCAGTTGGTCACCTCTTCCTGGAAACAGGAGCCAGTGACTGTAGTTTCAAGGAAGTCAAACCATCTTCTCAGTCTCTCATACCTCCTGCTTTCTCTGCCAGGACCTATAATTTCTAGATACTAAATCTGGTACCAATCTACCCCAGCACTGAGGCTGTCCTTGGGCGGAAGGCATGGATGGGACAGGGCTGTGGCTGGTGCAGGGATAGCAGGCTCCTGAGCTAGCCAGACCAGTCTGGCCGGTTCTTTTTATCTCTATGTGGGACAAGGCGGGTGTTGCACAGTTATTCTGAGAGCCCTTTTGTCCTGTCCCACTGTGTCCTCTGTCCCACTGTTTCCCCTCCTGCCCAGGTCTAAGAACCAGGTTTTTACACTGAGTGTCTGGGGCAGACATGTCCCCAGGGTTACACTTGGGGGAGGTTTTTTTTACCCTTTCCTTTTTCCTCCAGATGCAAGCTCCCCCTTTGTCATACCCAGGATCCCCTTCCTAGGAAAGCCCTCAGATACTGTCATTTTTCCACCTCTCAGTTTTCCCACTTGAACAGATACAACTGTGGACACTGGCCATAGTGAAAAGTTCAGGTTCTGATGGGTTGCTACCAGTGCTTAGATACCTGTAGGGATGTGGTTGGAGGGCCTTGCTCTTCTCCACAGGGTAAACCAATCACTAGGTTTGTGGCCAGGAACGAGTTGGTCACCCAGGTCACACTGGCCCAGCCTGGGCACATCTATACAAGACATTTATTGTGCTGTTGACAAATGAACTATGCAGTAAATGCCTTGGCATCTACCTGTGTGCCCTTCTTAAGGTGCAAAAAACTCTGCAGCAGGGTAGTCTTGTAAAATCCAAGTATTAGCCTGTTGTGGAGTTTTTTCATGTGCAGCAGTGCACATGTGAATGCTCTCCTGGCTGGCTGGGACACAGGGTTCCTTGGCACAGGGGCTACCTGCCAGCCAACTCCACACTGAGAAACTCTGTGCCCCAGCCAGCCAGGGCTGAATCTACGTGTGGAATGCTGCACACAAAAAAAACTCTGGAGCAATAAGCTCTGGAGTTTTTTCATGCCCATTAATTGTACATGTAGACATGCCCACTATGGGGGGCATTTAACCTGCTGGAGAACTGATACCTGGTCCTTTCCCTAGGACCCTCTATGCATCTGTTTTTCTAATAAATTTTTTTTCCAGCATGTCACTCTGACAACTGTGATATGTTGAAGGATGTTTGGGGTGTTGCGTGCTTTGTGACTGTCATGTAATAGGTTGAAGGGGATGATCTTTAGGGGTCTTCAGGCAAATGGCACAGGAGACAAGGCTCACTGTCTCAGGAGACCTGTCCAAGTCTTAGGCTTTGCCCTTCTGTAGGCCAGGAATGGCTCTTTCTCATTGCCTGCTGGGTTTTCAAGAACGCCTCTGTGTGATGCCCAATACCGTATCAATCCCACCTGCCCCTTTTTCTTATGCTGTCTCTCAGCCAGCAAAGGAGTCCTTTGTAAAACCAGCTCTTCATCTCCTTCCAGATCTCTCTCGTGCTGCAAATCCTCATGGCTTCTGGGGACATCCCCTAAGTGTGTGTCCATCTGCTGCTCCTTAGATCATTAGCACTGTAGGACTGGTGTTTTCACTGAATGTCTAATGCCTAGCACATTGGCAGGCTGATCCATAATTGGGGCCTCAGAGTGCTAATCGTCAGCACTGTGGGGCAATGTGTTGAGCTACGTAAGCACATACTGAGTGCATCTTTATACACAGTCATGCAGCTGGCTAACACTGACTTCTTTCAAGTTAAGTGGAAGCCTGTTAGTAAAAGAGGTTGGTTGGAAGCAAGAGAAGTCACTGCCCATGGTAATCAGCCATGTGGTGGAGACTAAACAGAAATTACGGGGCGGGGGCTTCCCTGGGACTATGTAAGAGCAAAGAAGCAATTTGTGAGCAGAGTACTGCATCCAGTTTTGGGCTCCACAATTTAAAAAGGATGTGAAGGAGCTTGAGAGAGTCCAGAGAAGAGCCACGCGCATGATCAGAGGTCAGGAAAACTGACCTTACGATGACAGGCTGAGAGCCATGGGGCTCTTTAGCCTGGAAAAACGCAGGCTCAGGGGTGATCTGATGGCTACCTGTAAGTTTATTGGGGTGACCACCAGGATCTGGGGGAACGTTTGTTCACCAGAGCGCCCCAAGGGATGACAAGGTTGAACGGTCATAAACTACTGCAAGACTGTTTCAGGCTGGACATAAGGAAGCATTTCTTTACTGTCCAAGCCCCCAAGGTCTGGAATAGCCTGCCATGGGAGGTGGTTCAAGCACCTACATTGAACACCTTCAAGAGCAAATTGGATGCTTATCTTGCTGGACTCCTATGACCCCAGCTGACTTCCTGCCCTTTGGGCGGGTGGCTGGACTCGATGATCTTCTGTGGTCCCTTCCAGCCCTAATGTCTATGAAATCTATGAACTTGGTAGCAGCTACTATTGTGAAGTGAAGTCCCCCCGACCACAAACAATGGTGGGATGGCCATCTCCCCTCTCCCTTCCCCACCAAGAAGAAAAGAAGAAATCAGGCTCAGGATAGCAAGCAAATACATGTTATTCTTTACAGACAGGAAAGCTTGAATTTACTTTATATACCCATATACATACATATTTTTAATTACAGGTAAATTAAAGCTAAGCTATCAAAGCTAAATATTTAAATCTTAAAATTTTAAGCTTGTAATATTTAATTAATTTATTTAAAGTTAAATGTGTAAGCTTTTTGAGTACTTAAGTTAAAGCTAAATTGAAATTAAATATATGTATTTTCTGTCTAGAACAGCACCACCTGATGGATGAGAATTCAAAGTACATAAATCTACTCTGTGAAAAACATCATGGCATGTCAGCACCATCCAGTGGCACTACGAGGTACATAACTTAACGTGCATGACAGAATGAACGTGTACCACCCTCATCTACATGGGCATGTATCTAAATTGGATGCAGTTATATCCACATTTAGGTAAATCACTTGCACGTGTATCAAGGCCTTGTGTTCTATTCCTGGCTCTGCCAAGGGCTTGTAAACAAGCCATTTAGCACACATGAATAAGATTTCCAAAAACCCTCCATTCAGCACAGTTGCAGTTTAAGTCCTAGTTTGAATGGAAGTGGAGCTAGGTCCAATCTACAATAGAAAGGATTTTCAACAGAACTAC